CTAGCTACCAAGAGACTGATTTCTAGGCCTGATTTTAAGTACATCAAAGGAACAGGGTGACTTTGGGCCAATCACTCTCATGGCCCTCCCAACCTCACTGGGTTGTTGTTGTGGGGAAAACAGGAACCAGGAGTACTAGGAGTGTTAACAGCCTTGAGCTGCATATGAAAAAGAGATAAATACAATATTCAACTGTACACCAACATTGTTATGGTGACTATTAGCAGTATGTATTTTTGTTATATTTAAACCTTTAATTGTTACAAGGAGCTGATTACTTATTAGAATATTAACAGAGAGATACAATCAAGATGAAGGGAGGTACTAATACCACTCTATAAAGCCTTAGTAAGACCACACCTAGAGTACTGCATCCAGTTTTGTTCACCACATTATAAAAAAAATATGTTGAGACTAGAAAAAAAGTGCAGAGAAGAGCAACCAGGATGATTAGGGGACTGGAGACTAAAACATACAATGAACGATTGCAGGAACTGGGCTTGGCTAGTCTAGAGAAGAGAAGGACCAGGGGAGACAGGATAGCGGTCTTCCAATATTTGACGGGCTGCCACAGAGAGGAGGAAGGGGTCAAGCTGTTTTCTAAAGCGCCTGTAGGCCAGACAAGGAATAATGGATGGAAACTGAACAAGAAGAGATTCAACCTGGAAATAAGGAGAAACTTTCTGACAGTGAGAACAATCAACCAATGGAACAGAAGTTGCCCTCGGAAGTTGTGGGAGCACCATCACTTGAGACTTTCAAGAAGAGATTGGACTGCCATTTGTCAGAAATGGTGTAGGGTCTCCCGCTTGGGCAGGGGGTTGGACTAGATGACCTACAAGGTCCCTTCCAACTCTGATTATCTGTTATCTGAATGCTTTTCTCCTTTAATTTCAGCCCAAAGTTTAGATCTGGTAGAGTTTAGAATAGAGTAGAATAGAATTCTTTATTGGCCAAGTGTGATTGGACACCCAAGGACTTTGTCTTGGTGCAAATGCTCTCAAGTGTACATAAAAGACACATTCGTCAAGAATCACAAGGTACAACAGTTAATGATAGTCATAGGGTACAATAAGCAATCAAATCATACTAGGAAACAGTCAATATAAATCGTTAGGATACAAGCCACAAAGTTAAAGTCATACAGTCACAAGTGGGAGGGGATGGGTGATAAGGAGTGATGAGGAGATTAACAGTAATAGTAGTGCAGACTTTGTAAATAGTTGAATAGGGTTGAGGGAATTGTTTAGTAGAGTGATGGCTTTCGGGGAAAAACTATCCTTGTGTCTAGTTGTCCTGGTGTGCAGTGCTCTATAGCGTCCTTTTGAGGGAAGGAGCTGAAACAGTTTATGTCCGGGATGTGAGGGGTCTGTAAATGTTTTCACAGCCCTCTTTTTGACTCGTGGAGTATATAGGTCCTCAGTGGAAGGCAGGTGGGTAGTAATTGTTTTTTTCTGCAGTCCTAATTATCCTCTGAAGTCTGTGTCTGTCCTGTTGGATTGCAGAACCAAACCAGACAGTTATAGAAGTCCAGACGACAGTAATTCCTCTGTAGAACTGGATCAGCAGCTTCTTGGGCAGTTTGAGCTTTGTGAGTTGGCGCAGAAAGAATGCTTCAGATCTCATCAGTAAAGGATTGACATTTTACGAGACTTCCCAAATGTGTTCCCCTTGTAGCTGGGTCAGCCCTGCGCAACAGCATTCCTCATCTGGTTCAGAAAGTCCTGACCCTGCTGAGTTTTGGCAGAGCTTAAAAACTTAGTTCTTTTAGCATGCCCTGGGGTAGGAGGCAGTGATTTCCCCCCCCCCATTTAAATGATTCATATGGCTCCCCATCTCACAGCAACGAATCCAGGCTGTATACAAAGGATTAAAACCATCCCCAAGAAAAACCAACAATCCAAAGGCTGTGTAGCACATGTCTGAGATCAAAGAAATCATTCCAATTATAGAAAGAAAGAAAAAAAACAAAGAACAATTACGGTAACTAGCAGAGTTTGCTCCATGGCCCCAACACCGGAGGCGGGTGGGGAACAGCCTGGTCCTTCAAGCCTTCTAGCAGGGCCATCTGACAGTGTTTCTCAACCTTGGCAGCTTTGAGACGTGTGAACGTCAATTCCCAGAAATGCTGCCAAGGCCAGCTGGGGAGGTCTGGGAGTTGAAGTCCACATGACTTTAAGTTGCCAAATTGGGGGGGGGGGGGAAACTGCTCTACGCTGGAGAGATGCTGTTTCACAAAGCAGACAGGGGGTCAGTGAAGGCACGTCATCCCTTCAGTTCTGTTATTAATCTTCTCAGTTTTTTTATACTGAGGTAAAGATGCTATAGGGCAGGGGTCCCCAACCACCGGTCCGCGGACCAGTACCGGTCCGTGGAACAAGTCCTACCGGGCCGCTGGTTTGCTGGGCGCCGCCATCTTTTTTTGATGAA